ATCAGTTATATATAATATATATATATATATGAAAACAAAGTGTAAATAGGCAACGGAAACAGATATAGTCTAAATATAGTTATAATAATCTTTGCTTATACTTCAATGGGCTGTTTTTAGGGATATATAACGTTTAATGCAACGAGAGTATTATGGAGTGAACAGATCTGATGCTTCCTATAGATTTATATACATAAATATGTATATTACAAGCGCAAATATGAAGATGTGCTCAGAATGGCATTGCTCGAATTAGTTTTCAAGGGCAGCAGGAAACAGAGCGAAGGCACACATATAGCTATGCCTAGGCTATACAACCTGTATAAAGATATATTTTCTTATAGGCACACGTGATGCAAATATAGATCTCAGTTTGCCTCATATGCCCCAGTCCATTCAAGTCACAATAAGGAAACGCCCAACTTTCATAGAACTGCCAATTGCTGATTGATTGATGAGCCAAGCATGATGTAAGCTGCCCATGGGTATTCCCAAGTCCAATAAGGTAATCCAATACGCTCCAAAGGCTAAAGACCCAGTTCAACATGGCGATTAGTGTGGGGCTAATGAAGACAGTAGCCAGTGGCTAGAACTTATGCAAATGCAGCAAGAAATGAACAACTATTGAAGCAAACTCAAGCGCTTTGATTGATGAGCAGTCATAAGTCAAGTGAAGGAGAGGGAGAGAGAGAGAGAGAGGGACACAGCGAGTGTGAAGAGCAGGAATTAAATAGCCATTTGACTAACGCCGTGGAGCTGCTTGTTGTGGCTGGCGCCTAAAAATAATTTTGCTGGAATTTTCACACGAATCAAAATGTGCCAAAAATAAGAGAAAAAACCACAAAAAGTTTTGAGTGTCGGAAAAGCCAACAATGAAAACAAAGCCGACCAAAAACTTTTGTTGAATTTCAAAATAATCGACGCGCTGCTAAAGTGAGTGTCGAGTGAGTGTGAGTGTGTGTGCGAGTGTGTGTGCGAGTGCGTGTCTGTCTTGTTTATCTTACTCACCCCAACATGATTGTTGTGGTGAGTTTTTAAGTTTCGGTTCCAGTTCAAGTTCACAGTCTACGCGATTAGTTTGAGGGCGACCACAAACGACTCATAAAACGAAAGATACCAAATGTGTATATAACATATATGTGAAGCAGAAGAACTCTAGTGCTCACTGAACAATAGTAATAATATTATTATATATATGTGTATATATAAATACATATATATAAGTGCTTAAATGCTTCGCAGAACTTGTACAAACTGCGAGTGAGGCGGAATGTTCTTTAATGCTTTTTTGATTTCGTGAGTTTCATTATTGATTATTAACAATATATATATATATATATATATATTCCAGTTATATATCATATAGAGCCAGTGAACTGTGTTTTGTTTATGTTCCGTCGCATTTGCCATTTGCGTCTTCTGAATTTTAACAAATGTTTTATGAATATTACGCATACGCCGCGTGACACGTTCAAAGTGCTCACTGCCTGTCTGTCCATCCGACCGTCAGTCCGTCCGTTCGTCTATCGCCAAAGCCGCTTTATCAGTCGCCGATAAATCTTTGTCAAGCTCTATGCATTCCAGCATACCTAATTATCACGAACTACCAATTTGTGAGCTGTTTTAATAGAGCAGCTCTACCCCCGCGTCAAATATGCTGCGCTCCATTGATTCTTTCGAGTCGTAATCTCTATTAATTTTGGAGCGCATTCCCTTTGCAGGCGCCGCATGAATCACAATTCATTTGTCATTTGAGACAATTACTCAGCGCCTCGTTATCGGAGGACATAAAACCCAAACAAAATTCAACTTGGCCCAACGGAAGCTACAAAAAGAAATAAACGGAAAAATCAGCGAAAACAACATAATTAATTACTCATTAAATGTTCTGTGCGCATAGATTGGGATATATTAAAGAAATATATATATACACTTGGAAAAATGATATAGCTTGTTAGACTTAGCTCGATTTATTATTGATGAAATATACCAAAACATATCGAAAAGGTAGGCCTGAAATAGATAACCATCTTTAAGGTATGTATATTACACTAGAAAAAATAAGAGAACTTGAACAGCATTTGATGTTAGGTCGATATAAGCTAAGCCTCTTCCATTGACTGTTTCTGTTCTTAAGTTCTTCAATAAAGTTCTTCAATAAATCTTAGACAGGTTTCAACTTTTTCCAACTCTCTGGAAAACTTGTTAAAGTAAAGTAAAGTGAGCTTTGTGCCTTAATACTTATTAGAAGTCTGAATCTATAATCAGAATATCAACTAACCTTAACACCTAAGCGACAGTAATCATTCTTAGTTTTTCTCCTTACTCAAATGTAACTGTTCAATATAATACTTGATTACTATATTACTATATTCTTGACTGCATACTCTTAGCTCTTAGAAAGTCTAAGACAAAGCCTTAATCTAAAGCGTGCTCTGAACTGCTTTTATATTTCGCAATCGTTAGCTATACTTATATATATATATATATATATAATTTTATACTAGATTTATAGTATCTTAGTTCTCGATCACATTTGAGTTCGATAAACGCCATTAAAAGGTCTCAATGGATCTACTTTCTTGACAGTTGCTTGATTGTTGTGTAGAGCAACTCAAAGAGTGAAGCCTCAATCGTAATCATACAAATTTATATATATATATATAAATATTATTTTTCGATTTCTTGGAATCAATAAATGCCTAGTAAATGCTTTTTGTCTAACATTAGAAAAAACTCTTGGCATTATCTTATCGACGTTTTTATGACGATTATGCCTCGGGGTCTCTCTCTCTCTCGCTCTCTGTTTCTGCCTGCCTCTCACTTGAGTTGTATAATAAGCTGACTTATAATATCAACGATATTTGCGTGCATTAGGGTATATGCTGGCATTATCTGATATCTGATGGGGAATCCATCCATTGGCATTCCGTCAGCCAGCAGCAGGCGCGCCCGTTCGCATGTGTGAATCAGTGGAGGAAAAGGTTGGGAAATCGAATCGGTGATCGGCCTGATCAGCATTATAAATCGATCGATGGCGTATCTCTCATATCACATCTGTTTCTGGCATAAACACACGCATCGTAGACATATATATATATATAGATATATAGTTATAGAAAAGTAGTATGTGGGCAGGCGCTTTGCTGAGCTAAAGCAGCAGTTGTTGCATTTATCAGCACGCAAAACAAACAATAAATATGCAACAAAATTAAACAAATAGTTTGAAGTGGCAAAGCAAAAGCAAAAGCAAAAGCAAAACCAACAAAAATTATAGCATTTCGTGGGCTTCAATTGAAAATCCGGAAAATCGTAAAACAATTCATGAAATTGCGGGTCATAATTCAATTTTATAGCCACATTTAGCCGTTTATATATTCCGCTATAGCCAAATTGATTTCAGGCGGGGCACGACGGAAGACTCCTTGAAAATATATGCGGCTGGCTATTGTATAAGGTCTTGCCCCATAGACATTTTTGTGTTCTTTTGTTTAAAAAATGATTTTGATTTATGGCAAATTTAAATTGTAGACAAATCGAATTCGGAATTGTTTTTGATACAGCAAACATTTGCTTAATTGCAATTAAAATGATGTCAAATGGTGAACCACTTCTTGAAGGTGTGAACAGATAAACGTTTTCAGATACTTTTAAATACTGCATATGTGGAATCTAGTAGCATTAAATGGGTAAAATGAACCAGTTCTCTGAACTTGACTTGAAACCCTTAGCCCCAAAAGCAAAGCAGCTCATTTAAAGCGAGCCAGTTCACATTCACAGCCAACTCAAATGGTTCCCAAAATGTTATTGATATAGAATAAATAGCTCGCATTCATATTAAACTCCGGCTACATCCAGTTTTAGTGGCGCGAGTTGTCGCTTTGCCCGCTGAAAGCGATAAATTATGCTTATTTTTTGATTAATACTTAACTCTGTGAATTGGCGGGCATTTAATGTCTGTTTACCCACTGGGCCAATAAATTTCATGTTAATTCGAAGGTGCGCACTGCCCACTGAGCTGTCAAGCACGCACAAAGGGAGGCAGATACCCCCTCTGCCCCTCTGCCCCACTCTCTCTCTCTCTCTCTCTGTCTCGTCCCCTTTTAACCAATGCAAATAATTAGCAATCAATGAATTAAGCGAAATTTGACTTTCACCCGCCATGCAATGAGGCCTCCATAATGATGTTAGCGTACGATAAGATAGTGTCTATTGGGGCAGAGGATTAGGCAGCGGGGGTTAGGGGTTGGGTGCGCTTGTTGTCTGGTAATGAATTTATTGCCAACACATTAGCCACAAATAGTGGGCGTTGCTGTTTGGGCTGACGCAGATAGCAGCTGGGAGGACATGCGGACAGGATATTGATAGGGACAAGCACTTAGTATCAATTTAACACGAATTCATAAATAAGTGCTGGGCGAGATGATTAATGCCCCTCACGAATCGGGAGTTATGTATCGGCAGCTAGGTCGGGGAGGACAGCAGTCGGACAGTCGGACAGTCGGAGGCTCCAGCGCAACAGGGCGCCCATTCACATTGCGTGTGTCCAGCTATATGTGAATTGTTTATCTTTGCCTGTTCCCTCTGCCTTCCTGCCTGTTACTGTGTTTACGTGACATATACTAGGCATGACCCCAAGGACTTGTTGCCCTAATTGCGCTCCCAAAACTGACGTAATAAATCCACATGTCTTCGCGCCAGAGGCTAGCCTATTCGAGAGGTGTATGGCAACTGGCACAAAGTGCCTCGAAAGTGAAATTTTGAAGGATGGAGACAGCGTTTATTAGCTCATACGCTAATTGGAGCAATAAAGAAGATCTGATAAGATAGATTGGCACATAAAGTCGACGCAGGTTTGCTTTACAGCAATAAAATTCAAGGCTGCAATCGACTTTGTAGTTGGTCTAGGCTTACCTAAGATGATACTTTACTGTTCGAACTAGTCTTAAGTCTCATTTAAGCCTGGGTCTAATACAGTTTCTCTCGCTAACTCTCCGCAGAGCCCAGAAAAAAATGCAGCAGCATCGAGGATCGGGCTCACTCTATTGTGGCGTCACCGCAATCGGCGTGCTGCTCCTAGTGGTGCTGCGCCTGCTGCCGGGCAGTCCTTTCGGGGTCTATGCCATGAATGATGAGTGGAACTATCATGAGCGAAACGGCATACACATCAAGTGCAGCTTCTTCGACACAGTCAACGTGACTGGCTACCCCTCGTTTCCGAATGGCAGCTACAACTACGAGGGCGTGATAATACCCAGCCACTATGTGGGCACCTTTGACTACATCTACAAGGATCTGGTGGATCGCGTCGACGTGACGCCGCATGTGCGTGGCTGCATCTGCAAGCTGAAGCCCTGCATCAATATTTGTTGTCCTTGGGGTCAGATCTACAACGACACTGAGTGCGAAAAGGACACGAACACGAAGCAAATGTGGCCAGAGCCTATGATCAATGTGACCCTCAACAATGGATCCGTTCAGAGTGTGAATATCTACGAACAGTTTGTGGTGCAGAGTTTCAGGCCGTGCGCCGAGATGTTCTCGCTGCTGCCGGAGGTCAACTCCTACGACACCTTTCAGCTCTACGAGAATGGGACGCTGCTTCGCGAGGATGACCTGCATTACATCTACAAGAACGAGTTCTGCCTGGTGCCCACCAGTGTCAACGAAACCGATCTCTACTACACGATAAACCCAGCCAACTGCGACATGTTCAATGAGCATACAACAGTCAAGATCATTAACGGCTTTGGTAAGCGAAAAGATCTGTGTTCACATACCGAACATCTTGCTCCAGATTGATGAATCCTTATTGACTTCCACTTATCATTCTTGGTTTTTCCCTTCGCCACAGCAATGCTCTTTTCCATTCCCTTTATGCTGCTGACCATCGCCGTTTACCTCCTAATTCCCGAACTGCGTAATCAGCATGGAAAGTCTCTGGTCTGCTATCTGGTGGGCCTGACCGTTGGCTACTCTCTGCTGTGCTGCCTGCTACTCGTGGAGGGCATAGATCCACTTGGTCTATCCTGCAAGGTATTTGGCTACACGATCTACTTCTTCTTCATGTCCGCCTTCTTCTGGCTGAACGTGATCAGCTTCGATCTGTGGCACAATTTCCGGGGCACTCGCGGCATCAATCGGTTCCAGGAGAAGAAACGCTTTCTGTTCTACTCGCTCTACTCGTGGGGCTTGGCTCTGCTCTTCCTGGCCTTCACGATGCTGGCGCAGGAGTATTCGGACTTGCCCGATTACCTGAAGCCAGGAATAGGTGGGGGGCAGTACTGCTGGCTGGACATGACCAACTGGTCGACCATGCTCTACTTCTTCGGACCCATCATGGCCATCATTGTGACCAATACAGTGATGTTCGTGATGACGGCCATCAAGATTCACAGCGTGCAGCGCGAGATGGCGAGGATCATAGCACGCGAAGACAGCACCAGGAATCTGCGTACCGAGAAGGATAAGTAAGTGAATCCCTCCGTTTGCACAATGAATGGGGTTAGAGATCTAATTGAACTTCCCTCTAGATTCGGCTTGTTTCTGCGCCTGTTTCTCATCATGGGCGTTACCTGGTCGTTGGAAATTATATCGTACTTTGTGGGCTCTGACAAGAAGTGGTCGAAGATCTTCTACGTCTCCGACTTGTGCAACGCCATGCAGGGCTTTCTCATCTTCATGCTGTTCGTGTTGAAGAAGAAGGTTAAACACTTGATAACAAACAGGTATGTTTCCTCTATTGGCTCTATCAAAAAGCTGTCTACCCCCAAACCAAGAAACTTGTGCTGTCCCTTATCCCATTCATAATTGGAACGAGCTGTCTGTGTAACACACGAGTGTCTACTGAACCTGAATATGTATATGTATTTGACTCACTCCAATTATCCACTTACCCCACCCCTCGCCCTGCCCCACGATTAGAACTGTGCGTGTGCGCAGTCTGAGACAAACGGAGAGCGTGACTGTAGCTGGAAGCAGCTACTCGATGCGGCAGCGATTTATGGACGCTTCCCAACACATACGCAAGCTGGTAGTCATACGCAACGCGTTTGCCAACACTGCCAGCGGCGTGCACTCACATGCCGTCTAAAGGAACGTAACGAAACGAAACAGAACGGAACGGAACAGCGACAAATAGCAGCAGTAAGCGTTGCACTCCTCCTCGCTGTTCAGTGTTGTGCAACGAGCTCCTAACACTCTCTCGCTCTCTCTTTCTCTGAGTGTGTGTGCGTGTGTGAGTGTGAATGGCATGCAGCACTATATCTGATAGCTAGTCTATATAAATATATATGGATATACGTCTAGTATCTGTGTGTGGCTGTATTTCAATTGAATTTTCTTCTGTATTCTTCTGTATTCAGACTGCTTTCGGTAACGCTAACGCTAAAGAATCGCAACAAGAACCGCAGCCAAGCTGTAAACCAACACACAACACAACAAGCAAGCCTTAACACTTGAGTGTTGTTAACAAGACCAAAAGCTAAACGACCAGAGGCTAAACCCCGTACAAACACAAAACAAACGAACAAATTCCGTCCATTTAGATGTATACTAATAAATATATATAAATATATGCCATGTGTAACACCTATGTAACCCAAGTCCAAGTGATATTCTCCTACATATACACTCATATAATATGTATAAATAATAAATATAACAAATGCAAATCCGTCATTTTCGTTCACGAAGACTCTTGAAGCAAAAGTCGCCCAGCTCGAGTCAGTCGGCCTCAACGAACTCGACCTCCACCGACATAAATGTCCATCAGGAAAAGTTAAAAATGAAGGAAAAGTCCACTCGGCCCACAACCCAAACTAAAACATAGAAAAAAAAAGAAAACAAAAAAAAATAAAAAAAAAGTGCTATAAAAGGTAAAATAAAAACTATCAAAAGTAGTTAGAGGTTTTGCTGAAGCGAAGCATTTGTAATTAACCCCAGCTGAAAAACAGCAATAAATGATAAACTAACCAATCTCCAATGCTATCTCTATATAGATATATATATATATATATATAATTGCATGTAAATCAATTCAAATAGTTTAGCTGCCTCGCTACGCTGCTGCCCCGCTGCCCCGCTCTGGTTTCCATTGAATCACACTAGAGACATTTGCATTTCCAGCTAACACTCCATATTTGTCATCATATCTATATCGGGCCACATTATCACCATATATCATATAGCATATCGATAATTAACGCTGTTACGCTCTAATCTGTGTTATCAATGCTTCACTGTTTGCCCCGATTCTAATCTGATTTTTATGCCATCCATTTAGATGCTCGAGTTCGCGCGATGGCAGCCACCAGAGGCAGAGTCAATACTCCACCAAAACCACGTCCAGTAGCGTTGCAAATTTAACTTTACAGGAGAAAAGCTCCGCGGAGAAGCCGCTGTGCTCCATCGATCAACAACAATCGCTGCGCACCACCAGCTTCCGTTGAGGCCCACTGTGCCCACGCGCACAGTGTCCAATGCCTTGCAGCCGGTCTAGTCCTTGATGACGTCATCGCGTCGACGTCGTGCTAAGCATCGAATAGCTGGGCTGTCCCAGCAGCCATATATATCTATATCTACTATATTCTAGACTTATAAAAAGACATTATATATGTATATATATAAATCTGTATCCATATCTGCCTACATCTGAATGAGCTTACTATTTATACTATATATATATATATATATATATATATATATATATATATATATATATACATATATATATATATATAAAATATATCTTCTAAGCATTTGTCATATCTGCCCCTAAAAAAGGATCAAAATAAAGTTAAATTAAAAAGTGAGATTCGTAATCTATAAAGAAAACAACCTGAGCATTGTGAAACGCATACTCTAGCACATTTTTTTATATATATTATATAGTATATGTTTGAAATGTTTGTTAAAAATGTATAAAAATATCAAATAAAGCCAAAGAAAACAGAAAAAAAGAAACACCAGAATAAGTATGATAATTATTGATAGCAGCTATAATTCATTTTCTGATAGCATTTATAAGCGCGAAATAGAAATAATTTAATATGATGCCTAAAACTAGAATTTAATAAATGTATAAAAGTTGTCTCTAACTGTTCCCAGCTCTTGAAACCGGCATGTCATTTGACAGTGATGCGCACTTAACTTACACTGTTCCCATTGTAACAACAGAAGCTTTACAGCACAGACAACACCTAGTGAGTGTCTACGTTCGTTAGCAAAGACAAACACCTGCACACTGGTTGAATGCTTTGCAGCTGAAGAGCAATGGGAACAGTTAAGTTATGGCCTTTAATCTATCTTTAACAATTTTTTATCTGCTAAAACATCGTTTCTTTATTTAAATAAGTCTGCTTAAGTTTAAGCTTATTTATTCCATTAGCTGTAATTGCTTGTGTTCCCTTTGCCTGCTTAATTCCATACATTTTATTTTTTTTTTTTTTAATAATATCCAAACTTGTGAAATGACTCATATTTAATGTCCAATCAATTTTATGTTCGAAGGTGCGCACTGCCCACAGAGCACACAGTAAGGGATAGAGACACAGGAGGAGATCTCCTTTGGGCTATCTCTCTCACTCTCCATAATGGTATTAGCATAGGATAATATTGGGGTAGTGGATTGGGCTATTGCTGTGTTGGAGTCTGGTCTGCTCTGGTCTGGTCTGAATTTATTGATAACACATTAGCCACGGACAGGATATTGACCCAATTAATATCCACGCGAATTCATATATATGTACATGTTGGGACAGATGATTAATGCGCTTAGGAATCGGAAGTTGGGAATTAGCAGACTGGACTCGGAATTAGGAGTCAAAGCCAGGACATCAGGCCGCCCATTCACTTTGCGTCTATCTTTCGCTCTCTCTCTCTCTCTCTGTCTGCCTCTATAAACACGTAACACACACAACCCACAACCAACGGACTTGCTGCCCGTATTAGGCCCCTAAAAGTGACGCACATAGACACCGGGTAAAGTGCGTAAAATGTCTCGCAAGTGAGATTTGGGCAGATGACGGGAAAATTCATTAGCCAATATGATAATTGGAACTATAAAGAAGACCTAATAAGACTGATGACAGATACTAGCTAAAGGGGAATTTGATTAAGTTTGCGGAGGTAACCCACAACCCGATTTGAGCATTAAGGGTTTGCCTATATATGATGTGAGCCTGTTGCCTGGCCGCAGTTAGAAGAGTTTTGAGCTTCAAGTCAATCGGGGATGACATCCGCTGCAGCTTTGTGTACTGTGAAATAAATAGAGAAGATAAAACTTAGTTTTTTTTCGTTTCTTTTCCACTTGCTTGCGATGCTCTTGGTTTGGCTGAAAGCTTTCGCTGATGACTTCTCTTTAAAGAGCTTTAGTCTATCTTTAGCTAATATCATTTTCTTAAGCTTTTAAGCTAGTCTCGAACCCCGCTTAAAGCTCTAATCAACCGACTTTCTCGTATCTCCGTAGAGCCCAGAAACAAATGCAGCAGCATCGGAGGTCGGCTTCATACTACTGTGGATCCACTTTGAGGGCAGTTCAGCTTCTGGTGGGGCTTCGCCTGCTGGTGGGAAGTCCTCTTGGGATCCATGCGATGGACGAGGAGAGCAATGGCATGCAGGCCCAGTGCAGCTTCTTTGACACAGTCAATGTGACTGACTACCCCTCGTTTCCGAATGGCAGCTACAACTACGAGGGCGTGATAATACCCAGTCACTATGTGGGCACCTTTGACTACATCTACAAGGATCTGGTGGATCGCATCGACGTGACGCCACATGTGCGTGGCTGCATCTGCAAGCTGAAGCCCTGCATCAACATTTGTTGTCCTTGGAGTAAGATCTCCGATTACACTGAGTGCGAAGAGCATAGGCAATCGGCGCAAATGTGGTCGGAGCCAATGATCAGCGTGGCCCACAAAAATGGATCAGTTCAGAGTGCGAACATATTCGAGCAGTTCGTGGTGAAGAGCTTCAGCCCCTGCCCCGAGATGTTCTTGCTGTTGCCACATATCTACTCCTACGACCGTGCCCAGCTCTACGACGATGGGCGGCTGTTCCGCGAGGCAGATGGATACTTCACCAACGAGTTTTGCTTGATTCTCACCAACTCGACTGAGTCCTTCTTTCAAGTAGGCCGAAAAAACTGCGACAACTCCCATCTGGATGCGACCATGAAGATCATCACTCAGTTTGGTAGGTAACAAACTGAAAATAAGAATACTTTAGAGCACTCGTCAAAGAGATTGAGACAGGGTAACGTGCTTAGATCTGTTATATTTGGCATCTTTCTGCTTTCAGCTATGTTCACCTCCATACCCTTCATGCTGGCGACCATAACCGTCTACCTGTTAATACCCGAACTGTGTAACCAGCATGGCAAGTCTCTGATCTGCTATCTAGTAGGCCTGACCATTGGCTACTCGGTGATGTGCCTGGCACTCGTGAGTCGGGTAGATCCGCTTGGACTGTCCTGCAAAATGATTGGCTACACGGCCTACTTCGCCTTCATGTCCGCCTTCTTCTGGCTGAACGTGATCAGCTTCGATCTGTGGCTCAATTTCCGTGGCACACGCCGCATTAATCGAAAGCAGGAGGAGAAACGGTTTCTTCTCTACTCGCTCTACTCGTGGGGCTTGGCTCTGCTCTTCCTGGCCTTCACGATGCTGGCGCAGGAGTATTCGGACTGGCCCGATTACCTGAAGCCAGGAATAGGTGGGGGGCAGTACTGCTGGCTGGACATGAACAACTGGTCGGCCATGCTCTACTTCCTCGGACCCATCATGGCTATCATTGTGGCCAATTCAGTGATGTTCGTGATGACGGCCATCAAGATTCATGGCGTACAGCGGGAGACGGCGAGGATCTTTGCTCGCGAGGACAGCACTAGGAGTCTGAACTGCGATAAGGATAGGTCAGCGAAGCTCTCCATAGTTAAAAGAGTTATATTCAAGTTGAATCCCCCTCCAGGTTCAGCTTGTTTCTGCGCCTGTTTCTCATCATGGGCGTCACTTGGTCCTTGGAGATCATGTCCTACTTTGTGAACAATGACGATGGATGGATGAAGTTCTTTTACGTCTCCGATTTGTGCAATGCCATGCAGGGCTTTCTCATCTTCATGCTGTTCGTGGTGAAGAAGAAGGTCAAACACTTGATTACGCAAAGGTAAGATCCAAATAGAATTTGGGGCTCCTTGGAGCTTATATATTACGGACAAGGTAATTCAGGGTATTTCCTAGTCGTGCACTCCCTCACATATCATTTCTAAATTCATAAAAACAATGTTTAATGCTTTCTTTCTTTCCTATTAATATCTGATTTGATGTGTATTGCCCATTTAGATGCTCGAGTTGACGCGAAGGAAGTTATCGGAGTATGAGTCCATTTTCCTTTAAGTTCACTAGAGAAACGGCCGAATTAACTTACTCGATGTAACTTTCTATATTCATATTTTAGTAGTAGTTTTCCTATAATTATTATGGAAATAAATAAAAACTAATTTTATCAAAATGTTTCCAGTTTTTCCCAACTGTCCTCACTTCAGAAAAGCTTGTTAGCAAAGACAATAACCATTAAGTGTCTGCGCGCTGAATATGAAATTAACACAAACAGTTCTTGAAGACAGTTCGTTATTGATAAAAAAAAGCAGGAATCGGACTCATCAATCGAAATATTCCCATTGTTCCCATCATTAGCAAAGACAAACACCAGCATGCTTTCTTGGAGCCACTTACACACTACTCTCTGTTAGCAAAGACGAGCATCTACATGCGCATATTACTGTAGTCGTGCGCACTGTATTCTATTCCCGCTGTTAGCAAAGACAATCACCTCAAGCGCAGTAGCAACAGATAAATATTGGCATCTTAACAAATGAGTAAGCAAAAATAATTATATAACACAGAACAACACGCAAGCAACAATAGCTGATTTTATCAATCTGTTTTCCAATGCATTATTAACTTTTCGCATCAGCCATTGTTTTGAAGTGACGCGCAACTCTCTCATCTGTACCCAGTGTAAAGTTATGCTAGACAAAGACAACGAACGACTATTGCTCAGTTTTAACATAAAAGCTCTCTTCACTGCGCGCACAACTTAAGCTCTAGCCAAAGCCAGCTGCTGCTGTTGTTGTTGTTATTGTGGTTAAACAACTAACAAAATGAATTTTGAATGGGGTTCGCGTCCGACTGAGATTCCAATTCCAATTCCATTTTCGATTCCGCAAAGTAAACACACACGAAATCGAATTCCTCTTGGCCCTCAATTTGGTGCGCCCTGCAGCTGCGACTGTGACTGCGGCAGCGGCTATGGCTGTGGCTGTGGCTGCGGCCTGGGGTCTGCTTTTGCTGACTGACTGGCTAATCAGTTAGTCTGTTTTTTATTCTTGGCCGGCATGGTGCGTTGACGTCTCTGCGCCGCGGTTTGCCGGTTTCGTTTAACGAGAAAGTCCACAACAATAACAACAACAACAACAGCAGCAGCAGCAACGACAACACATCACAAAGTTCGTCTTCCCCACTCCGTGTCTTTCTCTCTCACTCTCTCTCTCTCTCTCGCTCGCTCGCTCGCTCGCTTGCGCGCCATATAATTATTGTCGTTGTTGTCGCAATCATATAGCCGTTTTTAGACGTCGCTGTCAGCGTCGCCGTCAACGTTTGCGTCGGCGTTCTCGCTGTCCGTTTTGATTGTTGTATTTTGGTGTATGAATATATATGTGTGTGTTTGTGTGTGTGCGTGCGTTTAAAATCCAAAAACCAAATCAAATATTTTATATGGATACGATCGCATTTATTTATTTATTTAATTCATGTGCTGCGCCGATGCCGACGCCGACGTCGACGTCGCTGTTACTGTTCAACGCTATAGACGCTGTGACGTCACGCGCGAAGCATAAAGCTTTAAGCCACAAACAAATACCACACCTAAAGCCAAAAGCAAATACAGTGAACTCTCTGCTAGCGAACAGCTGGCTGTGCGCGATTCTTCACTTCCAATTGGAATTAGAATAACATAAAATAAACTTTTGAAACATAATTTATTTTTGAAATATTTTATATATATTTATATACTTAAATATTTATATATGTAGAATGTATGTTTATGTAAATATAAAACATTTTCTATGTTCACATTTATCTTGGCAGAAGAAGTCACTTCACGCAGCTGTTCGTCGTCTTAGCGAATGCCCACTGTAACAATCGCTTTATAGCCGCAGCGTGTTTAATTGCTGAATTAGCGCTAGATCAAGAAAAATGTGGGTGGTGCTCGTGTGGTTCATCCTCATTAGCACAAGATCAACAACTGCCTCTGCCTCCCCTCATGGCAAGTTTCCGTGCGCCTATGCAGACACCGTCAACATCACGGACGGACTACGGCTCAAGGATGGCTCCTACTCGTACGCAGGTGTCCTGATACCACCAGAGCTAATGGCCGAGTACAGCTTCAAGGTGATCGACGGCGTGGAATATCGAGCGGAGAAGCATTTACGTGGCTGCGTCTGCCTGCTAAAGCCCTGCATCACGTTCTGCTGTCCGCCGGACTTGGTCTTCAGTGCGGAGAGCTGGAACTGCACGAAGCCCAAGCAGGAGCGTCTGATCAGCCACGTCGAGCTGAGCTACGCCAATCGCAGCATGGCGCAGGTGAAGATCAACGAACACTTTGTGGTGCGCACCGAGCTGGGCTGCCGGAACAAATTTGTGGACAAGAAGCACGACACCTTCTGGCAGTGGGATCTGCATGAGAACGGCTCGCTGCTGCGCGACGGACGCCTCTGGAGCACGGACGAGTACTGCTTCACCCCACTGGAGCACAAACAGGCCTGGGAGCTGACGCCACTCAACTGCGAGCGCTTTCAGCGTGGCTACAGAGTCTGGATCTACGCCATCTGCAAGTGCACCCAATGCCCCACTCACTCTATATCTTACTAATGCCTCCCCTTCTGATCTGCAGGCAGCATCATTGCTATAATCATCAACATCTTCGTGGTCTCCCTGCTCAGCTCCATCAATGAGGCACGCCGCTCTCACTATGGCCAGCTGATCATCTACTACCTGCTGTCCGCTATTGGGGGCTACTCGCTGCTCGTCTATCTGACGCTCAAGAATCCAATGAATCTGTCCCACGAGGCCTGTCGCAATATAGGTTAGCCTTCTCTAATCAAGCTGCCATTCTGTAGATCTCACTTAACCCTTTTTCTTGCCAGGTTTCTTGGCCTACTTCTGCATCATGTTGTCCTTTGTCTACCTGGCCATTTGCAGCTTGGACTTTTTGCTCAAGTTCCGCCTGAAGGACATCAAAAACTGGGTGCGCACCTTGTGCTATTTTATAGCTCTTTGCTGCGTGATAGCTCTGCGCTTTTTGGTCTCCTTTGCGCAGGACTCAAACTTGCCCAAGCACTTCAAGCCAGGCATTGGCGAGGACTACTGCTGGTTTGATGGTGAGTTAACTCAGACAGAAATTAAGATTACTAACTCTCTGGCTAAGCTGTATTAGATTAGTGTACAACACTCTCTTGTAGTCTCATCTCATCAACTCAATGCGTCTCATCTTATCGTCTCATCCTATATCAGATCATATGGTCTATCAATGCTATCAGTGTTAATCTGGCTCTCTATCCAGTTAGATAATGATTCTGATCTAATATTTATCTAATTGACATATTTTCGATTTGCTTGCCTCCATTCGGTCCTTATCTAATCGATTCGTATCTCCCTTGGCAGTTCGTCTCTGGGGCATTCTGATCTACTACTACGTGCCCATTCTCCTGCTGCTGATCTTCAGCATCGGCTGCTGCGTCAAGGCTTACTTTTCGATCTTTGAGCTGCCTGCAGATACGCAGTACGTCTTGGGCACTCAGCTGCGCATCATGAAGACTCAGTAAGTAATCCTTGGCTGCGAGTCTATTAATATTCCTTCGGCTCACCCCGCCTTAGTTTCTACGCCTTCTCCGCATATCTGGTGGGCGTGTCGTCGGTGTGGGTGCGCGAGATGGTGGTCTACATCTTGGCTCGAATGAGGGAGCATTTCTTCATCATCGACTTCTGGAGCGGCATCTGCATCTTGGTGCTGGCCATAGCCGGCTTCATTCTGCTGCTGGGCAAGAATATGCACGTGAAGACCTGGTGGTCCATCAATGTGTAAGACCTATAGAGTGAGTCCCCTCAACAAGCCCTCTTAACAAGTTCTACTCCACAGCGAGTCGAGCCAAACGGATCTGAGCATAATAAACGCGCGTGTCTACAAATTCGATGAAAAGGGCGATCTGAAGTCTCCAGGTGAGCAGACAGCGTCTATCCACAGGTCTTTCGATCGAGCTAACCCTACCCCAATCTCCATCTACAGACTCACCTTATAGACCGACGGTGACATCACTCTAACTGCCGGAACATTGCTCAGCCCATGATTCATCTGAGAGCTTCTTGTGAATCATTCTGAATGATAGGAAATAATATACGCATTAAGCACTATTAAGACTTGTTATACTACGATATATATTTTTATATGTATGTACGCATGCCTACAATACGCATCTGTGCAACACACACATGTTTACACTACACTTACAGCTACAGTTAATGATTAAACAACAGTTTTTACTTTGGAATTTGCATTCTTATCAATGGCGAAGCCTGAGCACTATCAATATCCAATGTAATTGGCTTTATCATGTCAATGTGAGTATTCATTTCATTAGCATAGTCGTGCACGATCAGGATCATTGTCATCAGTCATTGATAATGATGTTGCTAAACATAATTAATAGTATCTTGGAATTTCATTATCATGATCATTATCCTTATTATTGTCATTGCTCATTTCACATTGTCATTATCATTGTCATCATCGATCTCATTAACTTGAGCATAGTCTCTATCACAGCTGTCATCATTATTAGGCTCATTATCATCACCTTTGCCTAGCCATTTCGAGTGGCTTCCCTTGCCCAAGTTGCCGTTTAGTCTCGACTACTCAGAAGAGTAAACGCTTCACTTATGAATGCCTCGCAAATTTTTCCCATTAGATTCCGAAAAAACAAATAATAAATCAATGCTTATTGGCAGTTCAGTCAGTCAGCTATCCATCAATGTATCCATCGAGGTAAACACATTAAATATGTGCAGAAATTATTACGTCAAGCTTTGCCCTTTCGTGGTTTTGCTGGTAATTAACTTATTTGCGTTTGGCATGCGCCCCAGGCCCAGGCCCACGCCCACGCCCGAGCCCCTCTTGTGGTTGGGCTGGGGCAATTTGTTTTGCTGCTCAACGTTTAGTGTACTAAACCTTTATGGAGCAATAATTAAGCGTGTCCGCATAAAGGATTCACTGAGCCATGAATTATTCGTTTGAACACATTTTCCCATCGCGAACAGGTGACCAGCCCCCAAAACAGTTCGTAGGGCCACGTATAAAACCAGCGAAACCAAATATTAGAGTTCGTGGCCAAATGAGGGGTGTGTGGTTCAGTTCAGTGGTTCAGCGGTTCAGTGGAACGACTGCGTGTTCGTGCTCGCCAATCAAGTGGCACGCAACAAATGCCCTGTTTATGACGCCATTGAGTGCTGTCCGTCTCGCTCTCTGTCCCATTGACGACCTCACAACGGCGCGGTCTATATCTTAGAATGGTTCGCTGGCATGTTTAGATAGTGGCCAATGGGGCAGCCTAACGAATTGCAAATACTCTACTAAATGAGGCAGTGGCGCTTAAGATTGCACTCAGAGTGGAGATAGAAGATAGAAGAGGATCAAGGATGGGCTCAAAAACTGGTTCTGGTTCAGGGAATAGCTTCACAGTGCCAATCTGTCCTGGATTTGGATCATTGATGATGTCAAGGATGGGCGGAAATATATCTGCAATAAAATGTTCAAGAATAGGCATGGGTCAAGGATGGATTCACGGAAGATCTTCGGGAAAGGTGAAAGGATCAGTTCAAGTAGAACTTGTAGTAGATGAGGGATGATCTCAAAGATACGCCGAAGAATGGGTGCAAAGATGCATTCAGCTATGAGTTGGTCTCAAGAATAACACATTCAAAGGATAAATTGAGGATTATCCTCACAAACAGGATCTTCGACTTCAGCCTTTGCCTCTTGAGCACTTAAAGAACTGCAAGTATGCCCTATCTGATATAGAGTATAGTGTTCAGTTCCATGTGCTGCGCCTTCTGTTTGTTTCTCAGTGTCAGTTGGCCTTTTGGTTGTTGTAAACAAATTGCAGTCGTTAAAGACAACAACAACAACAACAACAACAACAACAACAACAACAACAAGAGCAGCAGCAACCACATGTGTGTGGATAAAAGCGAATAAAACTGTTTCGATTCCATTTTGGATTCGATTCACTTGTTGGGGGCGCAGCGAGCGCAGTTTGTGTTGAACCTGTGCCAGGTGTGGATGAGCCGTTTCCGCCGGACAGTTGCCAGAGTGGAGAGCCGTAGCAAGACGTCATTAGTAGACGATTGCGGTCCGTGTTTGGATTTCTATTTTGGAAAGGCCTTTGATTATTTGGTAAACAGCAACCGGACAGTGAGGTAAACAGCGAATGGATGAGATTTAATGCCACGATGAGCATTTCTTGGGTCGCGGCGCAGTTTCTGACAGTCAGCTGCCTCCTGGCCATGACTCAGGGCCTTCACGAGGAGGCGCGTCACCCGTGCGCCTTCATCGATACGATCAACATCACTGGCAGCTACAACATGGGCAGCGCCCTCAACAACTCCTACGTCCACAACTGGACCTTGATACCCCGGGAACTAGTCACCGCCTACGACTTTATTATCGAGAACGGAATTCGTGTGCCAGCCAAGCGCCACCTGCGCGCCTGCATCTGTAAGTTGCGGCCCTGCGTGCGCTTCTGCTGCTCGGCCGGACAGTTCTACGATTTGCAGGAACGCAGCTGCTTGGCTGCCCGCGAGGGACAGCCTCAGCCACCAGGCCAGAGCCACATGGATATCGAGCTGCACAACGGCACACAGTCGAATATAGAGCTGCGTTCGCTGTTCAGCGTGTATGAGGAGACGCCCTGCGATCACATGAAGGCCTATACCAAGGACACCACATACCTCAACTGGACACTACATGAGGTAAGGTCTACTGACTCTGATTAGCTGAGTTGTGTTCGTGAAACAGTTAACTGAGAGAATCTGTAGTAGCCTTAGTCGAAGGCTTTAGCTGAGCTAGATAAGTCTATGTCAATGCCTCTAGTCTCTTGCTATCCTCTAATTAATGCAGATCAAGGCTTGACTTCCTTAGCCAACTTTGACTAACAATAACAATACCCAGTTGAACCCCAACTCTAACCGACTTACTCTACTCCATACAGAACGGTTCGATCATCCATCGGGATCATCTGTTTAGCAAGCATTATTGCTTTACCCCGCTGCCAATTGGCGGCGGCAGCTGGAGCTGGCAGCCCTTGGCCTGTGCCCCAGAGAAACTTCACTTTGTGCTGGGCGTCAGAGAGTGGACCTATGCCATATGTAAGTTCTATAAGCTGTCTAAAAGAACAAAGGATTTTAATGAAAATAAATTAGTGTTCACTTCTCCCTTTCATCTGGTTATTAGACTGCCCTCGTATACCCAATGTCTATATATCTAATAGTTAATTGGCTTGCCCCACACGCATAATGGCGAATGTCTGCGCGAGTTGCTGCCGGGCAAAATAAACACAATTCGCTCATAAAAAGTCTTGCTACATTTTCATGTATCAATTCCATTAATCGAGATCGTTAGCTCGCAAATTTATCTTGACCATTAATGCCTCAAAGAAGTGAGTGATAACACTCAAGATCTTGCTGATTTCTTGGATAGTTCCATTTGTTTCATAGTATAATTCATACATTTCGTCTCTAAGCAAAAACTACATATGAAAGATATTACTGAACCGTATTGATCTCTTATTGATCCTGCTGATCAGCAAGTTATATACATGCCATAGATCTAGATCAACCCATGTCTCATATATGTGAAATCAGTTTCATCAGTTTTACATCCACATCGAATCCCTGTAATGGCACTCAGATCTTCTCGCCTTCTCATGTAATATAATCAAATTATGATTGATCCTTCAATACATTACTTTTTTCTAAGTTTCAATATCACTTTTTTATGATACTTTGTAGACATATATATATATCTCTATCTCTATTAATTGCCCGCCTCGTTCCTCCCGTCTCTAGGCCTGCTGATCTGCATTATATCGATGTTCATAGTGCTGATCGTGCATCTGCTATGCTCGGATATGCGCAACAGTTTCTATGGCGTAGCAATAAAATCGTACACGACGTGTGTTATCTTTGGCTATGCGCTGCTGGCTCACCTGACACTCCACGATCCCGCAAATCTGTCAACGCTCGCCTGTCGCATCATACGTGAGCACTGCAAATACAGATATAGATTGAGATATGGAAAACTGATTGATTGATTTATTTCTAGCCAGCTTTGCGCTGCTCTTCCTCGTGCTGTCCTTCTACATACTGAGCTTTATAGCTTTCAAGCTCTATGTGAGCTTCAATGGGGTTGTCTTTACCAAGCCCATGTTCTGGCTGATCTTTGGGCCGATCGTGTGCATAGCTGTGGCCTGGTCTGTTTTTGTGGGCTTCAGCTACCACGGCTCGAGGCTGGTCTTTGGAGGCGACACCTGTTGGTTCGATCGTGAGTTAATATGAATAAGCTCAGCTCTGTCCGGCTCTGTACACTATAGTTGTCTCTTTCTAGCGCGCAACTTGAGCATTATGATTTACTTCTTTGCGCCTGTTTTTGTTGCCTGCGCCATCAGCTGCTTCTTCTACGTGCTCACTCTTATACGCATTAGCGATGAGCCGGTGATCGATGCGGAAAAGAGCTTTGAGTCCTTGGAGAAGAATCGCCTGAAGTCGTTCTGGAAGTTCTTCACCTATACAGCGCTCACCTGGTTCGTCTGCGTTTGCTCTTTCGCTTTTAACTACTACCGCGACGAGCTTTCACACTTGAATTACGCTGTTTGCCTCTGCACAGCATTTCATGGATTTGCGGCTCTCTATGCTCTGATTGGCAAAAATCAACAGATACAGTACTTCCTGCGACGCATCGAGGAGAATAAGTGAGCAAATGGACATCTTTATGTGGGATATATATTCATATATAGCTTATTTATCTTAATATATTCTAGCGACGAGGACACCTGTGAGAACTCTGTGCCTATGTACATATATTGAATAGAACATTGTCTTCGCAGTTTGGCTACCACTGTGGCACAGTTACGGATGTACTGTACGAAGTAGTCGTGACACAAGCTGTTGAACTTGCAGTGCTTAGCCAAGACACGCACCCAACAAACAGCTTTAATTTCGTTTTCATTTTGTTAGACAAGCTTTTTGAATCACCTAACGGTAAATATTGTTGAAAATAAATGCCAAAAATATTTGGCATAAGTAAATATTGTAATTATAAAAACAGAAACATGTATAATATATATATAAATATATATATAAATAAATATATAAATAAATAAATTTTAATACAAATAACAAATATAATATATATTAAAATTTATTTACATATATATTTATTTAATTAACATTGATCATAAATATAATAATAATTTATAAATATAATTCATATCTATTTTAAAATTTGTATAAATAATTCATAGTCTATATTTGAGGGTACAAAAATAAAATATAAATTAAATTTTTTTTTTCAATTTTTATAAAAGCAAAAAAAATATATTTATTTTATTTTTGTGCTCTTAAACCTATAATTTAATAATAATAATAAAATTCTCAATTTAACCTTAAAAGAGAGAGAGAGATAGACAGACTCTCCAACATTTAATTCGTATCTGAAGAGCTTTAATCCTAAGTAAAACTTTAAGTATACGTACGCAAGTAATCTGCCAGCTAATCAGCTTCATTTGTTTATAGATACCTTCTTATTAATTGCCTACATTAGAGAGTGGAGACTAATTCATGTTAGTGTTTTATATAGCTAAACATTCAACAGATTTCAACAGGATATCAGAATCAGTGCAGTTGAATTAACCAAGCTTAAAGTGTTTGGACGGCACCCAACCAGGCCCAACCCAAAGTCCCTTTTGGCAAACACAAACACAAATACAAATACAAAATTTGTAGCCAGGCTCATTCGCAACTCAACTCGGAGTTTAGCATCCCGAGCAAACCCCAAAAAGTATACAACAATACATAACGTAATTTACACAACAAAAGCAAACTGCCCGTGGGCCAGAGCAACTAGCTCGAGAGCCAGCCCCAGTCCCTATCACACTCGCCCTCTCTCCCCTTTAAATGGAGTTGCAGTTGTTGTTGCTGCTGCTGGCTCGTGGACCGTGGCCGAGCTTCCCCTCTGTCTCGCTCTCTCTCTTTCTCTTGCTTGCTCTCGCTCCCTTTGGGCTGCCATATAATAAGTGCACGCCGATTTTGTTTGACATCAGAGGTCAATGGCCGCAGCGAGAGCGGGATAGAGATAGATAGATAAAGAGAGAGCGAATGCCGCAAGGGAATGCCAGGCACAGCCCTGCCTGCTGCCACATGCAGCCTGCATTGAGCTGCAGCAGTGGCAGCAGCCAAGCAGCAGCAGCAGCAGCAGCAGCAGCAGCAGCAGCAGCATCCAATCAGCCGCCCACTGTCGCTCCGTTTGGCTGTCAAGCGCAAGGAATCAAGTGGAAAGTGAAACGAGAGCGCAACAGAACTCAACTTCCCAACACAAATCTACCCTGCCCTTTTCTCGCTTAGCCCCCTCTCTCTCTTACTCTGTCTTCATCTCCCTTTCACTCACTCACTCAGTTTGTGCGCTTTGGTGCTCTTTTGATGTGGCCTCGCCCTCGGCCGCGCCATCTAACCAACAGACCCGCTAACTGCTACCCGCTACCCGCTACCCGCTACCCGCTACCCGCTAACAGTTAACCGCTTCCCATTTCACATGTCATCTCGGAGAGCTTCGGCTCCTGCGCTTTTCGGCTGGGCATACAGCAGCAGCGGCGCTCGTGCTCGTGCCAGCTGCGTTGTATACACACACACACGCTCGTATACACACACACTAGCTGCACACGCTTGGATCGATAAAACGTAGTAAAAATTCGTAGTATTGGAAGCTGGAAAAGGCGGCACTGCATCCAAGCCAAATGGCAGCGGCATTTTGCGTTAACTGACGTGCGCACTGGAAATTCATGCGAGGTAGGACATGTTTGGCGCGTTTTTCAAAGTGCACACACAAACACCGACACACAGATATGTCTATATGTGTGTGTGTGTTCGTGTGTTTATGCTGCTTTACAGTTTGTAACGCAAGCACAGGAGCAGCAGCAGCAGCAGCAACTCATAGTAACTGCACATGCCTGTGTGTGCGTGTGTGTGAGTGTGTTTGTGAGCGTGTGTGTGTGATTGTGTTTGTGTGTGCTGCTTTAATATTGGCATTGCTAGCCACAGTGTTAAGACCGCGCCCCGTTTAGTTGGAGCACCTGCACTAGCAGCCCCAACTCTGGCTCCCTCGCTGTCTCCCTGTCTCTCCGTCTCGCTCGCTCGCTCCATCAGGACATGAAAATTAATTACTAAATGACTTTATGCTTTTTAATGGCTTGGCTCGCAGTTAAAGGATATTAGACAAGCCATTAAGATGGGCTAGCTAACTCGCTTGCCTCGCTTGCCACGCCTACATTTCGCCTCGATTCGAGCTTTCAGCTTGCTTTGATTGGAAATTTTTAATTCTATTTTTTATTTCTCCATTTGCTTTTTGCCTCCTGCTGTCGGTTTGTCAACTGAGAATTGAAACTGCACTGAATCGGTTTAATTCCCGAGCGGGGGCATATAAATAGCGTGAGAGGGAGCGAGCGAGAGAGGGGAGAAAGAGTGCGGAACAAGAGAGAAAGCTAATAATTAAAGTGGCTTTCTATTACAGTTAGTTTTATGGCGCTGCATCAACATTGACTTAAGTATTGACTACTAATACTTTGACTAAGCTCAGAGTGAATACTTCAAGATATCTGATTGGATTATCGATACTCGACTGGAGATCGACTTGTTACTCTCTTTAATGTTGCATTCGTATATGTCTACTCAGCATTTTCAGCATGGTAGCGTCTTACCGTTAGACTCTTCTTGTGCTCTCCCATACTCGCCTTCATGAGAGCCTATCTTAGTTCTCTGCCGTGCTATATCTCAATTGTCTTCTCTCCCCCTCGGTTTTTCTTTACTTCTCTCGCAATCTTTCTCTCTCTCTCTTCATCTCTGATCATCGAAGAGTTCTCTCTCTGTATCTCTGCCTTCCTCTCTGTATATATATTATCTATATATTATATACATTGAAAAACTATCTTCCTATCAAGTATAGTAAAGTATGCCACGCTTTCGGGTGGGGCAGTGAAAAAACAATAAAAATATATTTTGAATAGCTGATAATGTAGTCATAGTCGCAGTTCCGCTCGATTTAACATCGTGGGAAGCAGCAATCAGTCCATCAGTTCGTTTGGTCAACCAAGTCGAAGTTCTCAGTTCTGAGTTCTCAGTTCTCAGTTCTCAGTGCTCGATTGGCAGTTGTCCCCATTTCCGGTCACATCTATGGCTAATGACTTGTTTAGCACCGGCGAAGCGGGCGAAGTTTCTAGTTGGCTGATTGAAAGGCTACGCACGCAGGCCAAATCAAATGCCATAAATAACTTATAATTAAACGTTTCGAAAAATTTACAACTCGAATAATTTATGTTGCCCAAATGCTCAACGAGCAATTGACTGGAATTCTATATAGCTAAAACGAGAAACAGGGAATGCTTTAATAATCTATGAATTGAGACAACAACAACAAAGGGAAGAGCGGACGTGGGAGGTGGAACATGGAACGTGAACGTGGGCTTCAGCAAGTATGCTAAGGTACCACAGTGTATGTGTGTGTGTGTGAGTGTTTGATAATATGTCAAAAAACAAAAACAAAAAGAGCCTCTGTGGAGTGCCAAGTGGTTGGCCCCCAGAGGCGGGGGCAAGCCGCTGGGGCAATCATAAATTCATTCATAAAAACGAAGTTACAACGCTTCTTCGTCTTCAGCTGCTTCTTCTTATACTTTTAAATGTTTAGTAAAAACAAAAAGCGATAATAGCTGCACGATCCAAAGCACATAATCAGTTTGTATGACTTCTGCTCCAAAGCGCTCTTCTACAACCAGCTAAGCTTAGAGTTACCCTGTCGCAGACGTCGTATTTGTGTGTGTATAAGAGAGCTTTCGCTTGAAAAGCGCTCGTGGCTTCAGATTGCACTATGAAGCTTTAAGCTTTATGTTTGACAGCTTTTGTTTGTGTCAGCGAAAGATTCAAGTTTCAGTTTCACAGCTTTGTCAGCAACATTTCACTGATCTATGGCAGCAGTATACACCCTTTTCGTGTGCTCGCTTTGTAGGGTATTCAAAGACTTTTCACTTTTACACTTGTCTACTTTAGTGCCGCCGAGCCAAGTGGCTTTCGGCTTTGACTTCGGTTTGCGGTTCGCTTTTTGTTTTATTTTGTTGTTTTCGTCTTCATGTTTGGGGGGCTTAAGCTTTGGGGCACACGCGTGTGCTCCCATTTCTCACCTTCAATGACACCTTACAGCAATAATCATGAAAATTATATATGACTTTGGTTTTCTCCGCTCACAATTTCTTTTATAAAACATATTTCAAGAGAGCCGTTTTTTTTCTTTATTTATTTGTTGTGGTTGTTGCTTGTGTTGTTGTTTGTTTGCTGTGACTCTTGAGATTTATTTCGTGCCTTGGTTAAATGTTGCGTTTGTTCAATTTACGCTACAGCAACGCGCCGTCAACTCTAGCTCTCGCACCAGTTGACGTTTTTTGCGGAAGATTCAAATGCAGTCGAAGAGATGCTCTAACAATGCAAGATTAATGAATGAAGTGAAGATCAAGCAGGAGAGAGAGCAGCATATAGTAGAATTTTACTATAATTCGATAAGAGAGATCTTCAGGTAGCTGAAATTGAAGAGAAGATGTTGACTGATCTTTACTCCTTTTACTTTTGCCACAAGATCAGCGATCCTCTATTAAAGCTTATTTTACTTCTATATATACTAATTGCATGATCACAAATACTTCACATAAAGTTATAACTTCAATAATCTTGCAAGCTATCGGCAAGTAAATTCTGAATATCTCTGCATTGATCATCTGTGATCACTGTTTATATATAACCGACTTATTACTGATTGGCCCTTATCAACTGTCATCTCTGATCAATTCTCAATGATCTTCAAGTAAACTCTAAATATATACACGATCATCTCAGATCAGTTTTCCATTTGCATAACGATCACTGATCATCATCAAGTTTCATCTCTGATCAACTCTAAATGATCTTTGAGTAAGTTCTTA